CATCATGAACAGAGAAAACTAGGTAGATTTTTATACTGAAAGGCACTATATGCTTTTATACTCAAGGTGAGAAATTAATCACACCTGTGCATGAAAGAAAAATCTATACAAGCAGTTGACCTAAGCAAAATTCATAGCGGTCTGTCAACACAAACAAGGTTCTCCTTTCCATATATTGTTTCTCACAGAATATAACAATATTGTTGTAAAGGTGATAAAGGGGCTTGGTTTCTTAGCATAAACAAGTAATAATAAATTAGGATGATGTTAACATTCTTCACTGTAGTACTAAGAAGCCTAGTCAAGATAAATGTTAGCTACAAAATGCTTATAGCTTAATAGTAGAGCTTGTAACTATGGGGTTTTTTGGGTCCATTCACTGTTCCATTATAAGGCATTTTCCTTGAGTTTCTGACAAGGAAAAGGATCAAAAGCCATTCTCAAGTTTTTAAATATCACAGTGCGCCCAACAGAATTTATCATAGACAAAGTCATGACCAGAACAAATAACAGTAGTTCTTTTTACATATACTGTACAAATGAAGATAATGGTCATAGTAAGGTAATTATTACTGGAACTTCTATTCTTTTTAGAGTAGATTAACCAAAATACATTGGAAGTAAGTTTAAAAGAAGAACTACCTGTTTGCACAGTAAATTATTTTTAGACTAACTTTAGAACGTACTGGGGGATGCAGTCCTGCAAACTAATTTAAATGGAGTTAGCAGAGAAATTCATGCTTTCTATTTAGTTATGATAGATCAATGATAATTTCATGTTCAGAAATAGTCTAAAAACACATACCTGATGTTGTGGCTAAACAGGAGAAAGCCATTTCCATTATACTATCCAACTTTTTCAGTTTCAAGTAGGTTTCATAGCCTAACTCGGCCCCAGCAAAATGTAAATGGGCTGGTTATAAATCACAGAGACACATTTATAAATTGATGATCAATTTATTGATCAATTTATAAATGCATACATTGATGGCCAGTCTTCTGCCCAAGAATCAAGGACCTATGCAATAGTAGTGTTCTAATTCAAGCTGAGAAACAAAGTTCTACTAACAGTATGAATAACATAGTCAGAGTAAAAGGGCAAAAGGGTAGCAGTTGGCAGGTCTGGTCCAAGAATCACAAATACAAGTAGACATAGAAAGAAACATGAAGATAAAACCCATCGTAGAAGTTCTATAAGCACTGAGTCTCCTACTGGGAAGACCACAAATATCAAAGTTTCTTTCCCTTTCCTCCCGAACACAGCTGAAGCTGAACATCCATCCTTTAGTGACATCAGATTCAGCAAAGCCTCCACTCCAGTCAGGTTTCTTCCATGTAAGCAGCCACTCCTTTGTCTGGTAATCCTTTGACCCTTTATAGTTTGTCAATGTGTAGTTCCTGAAGGCTATGTGGCCTTGACTCCAGCTGAATTTTCTATAGCAGAATTGGGGATGGCAGAGTCTGCATCTGTTCTTTCTTCATTCTTACTTAGGTTTGGCACTTTAGCATCTGAATGATAAATCCTGCTTCTTCAGATGAAGAAGATGTGTGCAGATGGGCTATGACAGTAGGCTCCTAAACATACCAGGCTGATCAGTGCTGCAAACCGAATTCAGATTAGATGGAACCTTGGTCCAATAGACAATTACAGTTCAGTACTCTGTAATTCAATATCTGACAACATTTTGCTATTCTAACCCCAAATGGAGAATGTCAATCTTAAATTAATGTGAAGAAAGCTATTGACTATGGAATGTCAATTCTATGGAATATAATGTCTTATTTTATGTTTACATCTCCAAACTCTATGTTTACTTGAATGAGAGATTATAAAATGGATGCTGTGCACAGTTACAAACAAGTACACACTGAGAGGATATTGAAGATTATTTGATATCAGTGTTGAATAGCTTTCTTTTCCTTAGCACAATTTTTTTAGAGTAAATAATGAGGTTAACCTTCTGGCATTACCAAGGGTGACCATCCAAGGGCATCCTGGCCCTAAGTTACACATTCTGGGCAAAACATTTATTATTTTTTCAGTTTTGTATTTGAAATTATTACAATAAATTGAGCTAGCAAAGTACTCACTCTACACAAATACCTAGCACAGAATAAAGAAAGGACCAATTTAAAAACTTTATCAACAGGGAATTTTATGTACTCATCAACATCGTATCTAGATAACATATTAGAAATAAGTTATCTTGGTGGTTTCAAATAATAACCTCAAAAATATAAAACCAGCAAAATTAAAAATACATTCAAACATCATACAAATAAAATCTATAATTTTTAGATAACCTTATAAAAATGAAAAACTTAGTAAAGCATCAGATTCCCCAAAAAAGCAAAGGCAAAGGGACTTTGGAAACTATGCGGCTCTCATGAATGCAAATTGTGCATTTTGTTTCTTTAGGGCAATAAGGTAATATTAAAACTTTAGGGTACCATTAATATTCCACATAGAAACTATGGGCTTTTGTGGAGGCTGATTCTGGGTTACAAAACTGGGCCTTGAAATTTTACTGGGAGCCAATGAAGATCACAATGTTCTTATATAATGACCAGATCCTTGTTAGAAATGATTTGAGCTAAATATGGGCAATAGAGTGGTACACAATGTAAATTATCAAATTAATGCCAGACGTTAATTAACATTTGGGAAGGATTTTTCTTCCTTTCTTTAAATCTCAGATTTAAAAATGTCATGGAACAGACCACATTTTATTAAGTTACTTTCTATCAATGATACTTTGCATTGCAAATGAATTGGCCCATCACCATAGAAGTACATAACAAAACTTAACAGCAGAATGTTTTTCCTGCATGTTTATCTCACACATTGTCTGTTCATTTCATTTATACACATGAAAAATGCAAGTTAAAAGACTAGTCCTAAATATAGAGAAAATGAAGAACAAGCAGGGGACGAAAAAAAACCCTTGGATAATATCTATGAACAACAACAAGAAAAAAATGTATATACCACATACTCTCAATCTTTCAAACTTGACTATAGGTTTTCCAGAACAATCTAGATCTCATACACCTAGGATGTAATGTTTATAATATTGTCATTGAAGGATGATATGAAGGATGGAATTAGACAATGCTACAAGACAGTTTAGTGTGATGATTTATTTATTCAGATATTATAGCATTCAATTGGCATACCCTCCCAAAAAAAGTACCCAGAAGCACAACTTCCACAACCCTAAGCAAAATGAATATCCTGTGAAAAGACTATTATTAAATTTGGATGCATTCTTTCAATTGGCCCCTTCCCAGAATCCAAAGCAGTTCTAAAATGTTTATGTTGCTAGAAATATTGTTATTGCTCTACAATACTCCAAATCATCATAGGATCAAAACCTCTATAGCTCTACTTCAAACTCTCCCTAAAATTCAGAATAATATAGCTTGATATTCTTGAAGAATTGAATACTGGGTATACTTACTCAGTTGTGACCAAATATGTGTATACACATATCTCTGGTCCAAATCTCATCTCTGCCCAAAATATATTAGGTGAACTTAGCCAATTTTCTTGAAGTTATAACCTTCAGACGTGTTAGGACTGCAAACTGTAGAATTCCCCCCAGCATGGCTACTAGGAATTAGCAGCCTCAACATATTGCAAATTGCAGTCTCTCAGATTTTGTTCCAGTCTGAAATATAGGATTGTAAGACTTCTGTTTAGTTTATTAATGAAGGTCTTTATTAGTATAAAATGAATGCAAAGAGTAAAGAAAAATGTTTTTAAATAAGAGAATGATATAAGGCTGGGGGTTTTTTTCTGCTTTTGCTGGCATCAGTAGTGTTCACTTCAGATACCATTTATTACTAACAGAATATTTACCCATTATCTGAATGCTGGCTACTCAGTTTCATAGGTAAGGGCTCATAGGCACCCAATAAATGGAAGGAGCCAAATCAGATTTAGTTTTGTATGCTCTAATCTTGAATGACCCCCCTTACTGATGTTGTATACACCTTTTCATCTAACTGCAAACACTCTGAAACATCTCAAAATACATTTATCAATGTCTATGAGTTCCTGACCCTGGTATACTGTTTTAAAACAATGCTTCTACTGCCACATGTTAATACTGGTACCAAAACTAAAAAGAGCACAGTGTGGACTGTAATGTGATTGACTCATCAGGCTTATACTGAATGCTATGCACTGGTGTGCAGGGTTGCTTGAAGTACACCCGCAGCAGTGAAGCTGCCATATTGTTTAATCACCGATGCAGCGCTTCTAATTTGCAGTGTTCTTATCAGGATAAGCACAACCATATGAAGTTTTTGCTTGCCTCATGTGAACCTTTTAATGTATATTTTTAAAACATAAAACACCCATATCCCCCCCCCAAAAAAAACCCAATGTGAAGTTGCTCTGCATGCCCACATATGCAGGAAGAGCATCTAGAGCAGTCATGAATATCTGGAAAAGAAGACAACTGGTTTAGCAATTTTAGCATTCTCACGTGTGCCAAAATACTACTCTGGGTGGATTTGCATAACTCTCCTAGGTCTAAAATTGCAAACTTATATATCTCTAACTGAAAATAAGTCCCACTTATTTTAGATAGATAAACTGGTGGTTGAAACATTTATCAAATATACAGATGAAATTTTCATTTGGATTATCAACTGCACCATTGGATATATCACTGTGGAACTTCTGTTAAGATTCAGTCCCAGGATTTGATAGGTCCATATGTAAATGCTTATATTTACATGCTTAACTCTTTTCAGTGTCCATAATTACCTACCCCACCTGCCACACAATTGCTTCACTGACAATACATGGCCAGTTGTTTGCAGTTTAGATAGCTGTGACAATACAAGTTGTTATGATTAGCCCAACAACCTTTTAACATTATACACAAAAAACAACATTCTATAATTTTAAATCAAAAATAATATATAAACCTTTGTTGCTATGTTCACTGATGGTATTAATTCTTCTCTCCTTTACATTGTAGGTCCTTTTTCCCAAACAAACAAAAATGAAAGAAGATATAACCGAAAGAAAAATGACTGCTATTATATAAATGAGCTACTTCCTTTGCTATCTCCTTCTGGATATACTTCATTTTGAAGAATCTATCCATGTGAAGTAACATCATTTTCCAAAAATGCCTTTTACAATGAGACAAAGTGATTGTAAAGATGCAGTGCATTTCCAAGAAGCAAAGGAACATTGTGCCTCCTCAGCATGCACCATCTGACAAATGCAAGTGATTGTCTTATCAAATGACCAACTCTTACTGTACATAAAAAAAAACTGTACAATTATTTTTCTGAAATCCTGAGCTAAGATGAAGGACATGTCACTCAAAATTTACTTTTTACTTGGCCTAACTATCACTGTTCCAATACAAGCTGTGGATAAAAAAACAGACTGCCCACAGTCATGTTCCTGTGAGATAAGACCGTGGTTTACTCCTAGATCAATATACATGGAAGCATCAACAGTAGACTGCAATGACGTAGGCCTTTCTGCTTTTCCACCTCAACTGCCTGCCAATACACAGGTTCTACTTCTACAAGCAAATCATATTAAAAAAATTGAATACCCTACAGAATTTCCGGTAAACCTTACTGGTTTGGATTTGTCCCAGAATAGTTTATCTACAGTGACTACTATTGAACTTCAGAAGATAACCCAACTTTTTTCAGTGTATCTGGAGGAAAACAAACTTACAGAATTGCCTGACAGATGTTTCTTTGGACTTAATAATCTCCAAGAGCTTTACATAAATCACAATCTGCTTTCTACAATTGCATCAGGAGCATTCACAGGCCTTGATAACCTTCTTAGGCTTCATCTCAATTCAAACAATCTGCAACTCATTAACAGCAAATGGTTTGAAGCTATTCCTAATCTGGAAATTCTTATGATTGGAGAAAATCCAATAAATAGAATTGAAGATATGAACTTTAAACCCCTTATAAATCTGAGGAGCCTGGTTTTAGCAGGCATAAATCTCACAGAAATACCAGATAATGCCTTGGCTGGTCTTGACAATTTAGAAAGCATCTCTTTTTATGACAACAGATTAGTTAAAGTGCCCCACAGAGCTCTTCAAAAGGCTACAAATCTTAAATTTTTGGATCTAAACAAAAACCCCATTAACAGAATACAAAGAGGGGATTTTAGCAATATGATACACCTGAAAGAATTAGGAATTAATAATATGCCTGAACTGATATCTATAGATAACCTAGCTGTTGAAAATTTGCCAGATTTGAGGAAAATAGAAGCAACCAATAATCCAAGATTATCATATATACACCCTAATGCATTCTATCAACTTCCACGGCTGGAATCACTCATGCTCAATAGCAATGCACTGAGTGCTCTGTACCACAGTACAATTGAGTCTTTGCCCAATCTCAAGGAAATCAGCATACACAGCAACCCAATCCGCTGTGACTGTGTCATTCGATGGATTAATATGAATAAAACTAGCATTAGATTTATGGAGCCAGAGTCATTATTTTGTGTAGATCCTCCTGAATTCCAAGGCCAGAATGTGAGGATGGTTCATTTCAGGGAGATGATGGAAATCTGTCTTCCACTGATAGCCCCAGAAAGCTTTCCTACAAATTTAAATTTAGAAACAGGTAGCTATGTTTCCTTACATTGCCGAGCCACTGCAGTCCCAGAACCTGAAGTGTACTGGATTACTCCATCAGGACATAAGCTTTTACCCAATACTGTTTCCCTTAAATATTATGTACATTCAGAAGGAACATTAGAGATCAGTGATATAACACAAAAAGAAAGTGGTCTATACACATGCATAGCAACTAATTTAGTTGGTGCAGATTTAAAATCCATTATGATTAATGTGGATGGTTCTTTCCCCCAGGAGAACCACAAATCTTTCTCTATAACAGTAGAAGATGTACGCTACAATTCCATATTACTATCCTGGAAAGCAAATTCCAAAATTGTGAAATCTAACATCAGATGGACTGCCTTTCCAAAAGACAGAAACTCCCTGACCTCTCAGAGTGTTCGAATTCCATCACACCAAAAGGCCTATAATTTTACACACCTTACCCCATCAATGGAATATAAAATTTGTATGGACATCCCCACTATCCGGCTGCAGAATGCAAGACAATGCATCAATGTTACCACAAAAGGATTGGATCCAGCAATGAGCAATTGTGAGAAGAACGGCAGCAGCAGCACTACATTTCTTATCTGCCTTGGTGTTCTTTTAGGATTCTTTTGTGTTGCCGCCCTCTTCAGTTGCATCTGTCATGAAATGAACTGTGATGCAGGACACAGATTTTTCAGGAATTACCTGAAGAAACAATCCTTTTCTTTCAGTGAGCTTTATCCTCCTCTAATCAGTCCTTGGGATGCTGATAAAGAAAAAAGCACAGCCCTTGAAGTGCAAGCCACAGTAATAGAGGTTCCAACAAACATGTCATGAAAGTTAATATTATTGAACTTTATGCTTGAAAGTGGCAGCATACAGGACTCTCTCTTCTGTTGTGCTCAGTTATAAGGCGAAAAAGGATTCCTTTATGGAAACTTAGTGATTACAAATGGTGGTTACAAATACAAATATTTACTGGTGTAGTATTTTTTTTTTACAAAGGAAACACCTGTCTTTGGAAGTTCTGTACCAATTAAACTGTTTTCTAAGACTTTATATGAGACTTTTTAGGTACTTCTAAGAGGTACTTAACGCTGTCTAAATAGTCAAGTAGATAAGATTTTTTCTGTATTTGTTGTTTTTTTAATTACATGTAGGAATAGTGGAACTGAATAAGGCCCTCCTCCTGTGTTGTATGACACACTTAGCCACGAGTTTTTGCGTGAACAGATACAACTAGAATTGACCTGTGGTTTATTGAAATGAACAAATTCTGTAGAGTAGCCACAGTGAGTATGTGAAACTTTTTTATGATGAAAAATACAATTTTTGATTACAACCAAAACAGCTTCAATGTCTTTCTTTCTAAAACCATTATTCTGGGATATATTCTCCAATACATAATTTAATTCCTAATAGAGATATGTTTCTAGAGAAATGCATGTGTGATTTTGAAAACTTATTTTAGATTGTGCAGTTGCAATGCTATCCTAAGTATTCATACATAGGTTTGGATAAGTTGTATTGCCTGATCTATTAGCTGACAGGCACATCAATTTTCACAGGGTAACAAAAATAGTTATGTCCTTGGTATGAGGTTTAATTTATAATTTTAAAAGTCTGCAGTAATCTATAAACTGTACTTAATATTATACTCAACTACATAGTATCCTAAACAATTCTACAGATCTTTACCCAGAAGTGAAATCATTGCATTCCGTTAGATTTATTCCCAGCTTAAGTGATTAAAGAGCAATTTCACAGTCTGATACACAGGTTGTTATATCAAAATGCTCTAACATACCCAAAAACTTGCTGGCAACCTACTGGTGTGTGTATTTGTGTATGGAGGGGTGTGGAGAGTTCTGCTTTGTTGTTAAAGACAGCAATGAATTAGGTCAAGTGAACATTTCTCCAGTTCAGAATCAAATCAAACTGAACCTTTATTCTGGCTATAAGGCCAGCAGTGAGAAATAAGTAGAAGAGGTAAAAATGAAAGTATATGAAGCTAAAAAAAAAGGATCAAGGTGGAACTTTAGGATGCTTTAGGAACCTTCTATTCTTCCATTAAAGAGGCACCATTTAGAGTCTTTGTAATGCCACAAAGTGCCAGACATGGATATGGTGGGAAGCAGAAGGACACATTTGACTGGAATTAGAAATCTGAAATTTAAGATCATATTAATTTTAAGGAACAGACTCCTTAAAAGAGCATCATCATTTGCTGAAGCTTGTGCAGAATCCTGAAAAAGGTAAGGCTGTTTCTCTGTGAACAACAGAGAAATTCTGTGTTTCTACTTCTGCAGGTTCTGAAACGCTTTTTCTGTTCATTTTATAAATATGATCAGCTGTACTGTGTACATACACAGAGATTTTAGACTGGTGTTAAAGCAACATTTGGGAATTAAAATAACTGATGTCCCTGAAGAAATTTAAGACATGTCCTCTGCTAGTGAATTTCTCAGTGCACGAAACAAGACTGTGGACAAGACAGGGTTTTGTCAGATACACTAGGATCTTGTGACTATATAGTATTTGAATTGAAAAAAAAATAAAAACATGTTGCTAAGGAACCTTTTCTCTACATATGTTGCACTAAATTATACAATAAGACAAAAGGAACAAAGCAGGTCAAATTGTTCCAAATACTACCAAAATAAAAACATAGTAATGAGCAGTTATTCTACCTTGGCTCTAGAGATCCATCTTAAAATCAATGTTTTAATTTATTCATGCTAATCCAGTGTTTATGAGGCAAGCTGTAAGACTATAAGAAAAAATAGAAAGAAAATTCTGCTGACTAGAATTACATTCTCAAATGCTGGCACTGCATTTAACATAAATATTTTGCTGTCCAAATATATATACTTGATTAAAGTATTTGTAAACCACCCTTCTAATGCACTGCAGAGCTTAAGACAACTGAAATCCTAGAGGAATTAAACAACAAGAGAGTAATGTACAAGAGATAAAAAACAGATTTTCACCATTTTTTAAAAAATGAGGTTAAAAGATTACACAGAGAGTATGGAAATTAACTTTTCAATTTTCAGGAATAAATATTCCCCCAAATATAAAGATTAGTTGTGTTCGTTTAAGGGGGAAAAAATCAATATCAGATTTAAGCATCAAATCACAATATAATAATTCAGAGCAACTGCAGTGGGACGAAGAGTGAAAATCAGCCCATAGAAAATTGGAAGATTTAAGGTAAAAATGGCAGATATGCAGAGAACAGGAACAAGGCCTGCCAGCATGTATGCAGGAAGTTAATCACTTGCAGAATGGACAATTAGTCCATGGTTCATTCACATATTCAAACAGAGTATCTAGGAACAGGCAGAGTCTATTTCCAAAAGCAGAGTTCACAGACAATTTGAGAATCAACAAAGATAAAATCAGGACCACAGCAAGGTCAAGGAACAAAATGCTGTGTAACTTCCTTGTACAGCCAAGACTAGTAACTTTTAAGCATGACCTCTTGGACCTTCATTAAAACCTCAGTGCAGACCATTACAGAGGTCTTTTAAACATTTCTACTACCAAGCAAAGTTTTATTCCTGAGATGTCCTGTTTCTCAGGTTGGCTTGGGATACCATATTTATGCTGCAAATATGTGTATGATCACAAGATGGTAGCAAGGAGAGACAATAAAATCTAATCTTTTGCTGCCATCCAGTGGCCTCCCAAACATTTGCAACCTAACATTTGTTGATTGCTCTAAGGTTCACCTTGCAATTTTCTAGATTCTTTTACCTGCCATCTATACTTCCTAATCTGACCAGTATCTCAGGTGGTGATTCATTTCCAGAGGGGAATATCTGCATCTGAAAGTATTATATCAATAAGATCTCCCTGTTCTATGTCAGGATTTTCAGAAGTAAGTTCCTGCTTACTCACAGAGCTTTAGATTTTCTACTAAAGAGTAATCTTTTGGAGGAGAGATTCACAATAAGCACAAAAAGTATCAAGTTTCTGATGAGACCATCAATGAGAAACTAATGTAGGAAGCAACTGGTCACTGAATGATGCAAGAGAACATTGACAAATGTGGGACCAAGTGGATGGAACCACTTGTCTTTCCTTCAGGAAGAAAAATATATTGGCAAGCAATGGTATGAAAGCATGAAAGTGAACCATGTGCCAAAAAGTTCACCAACTCTAAATATAGATTATACAGATAATCTGGAAGCAATGCTCTATACCTTGTATATCTACAACATCACCTTCTGGCCAGATGTTTGCTAGTGTCTAGTGAGTTATCTGAACTCATAACATGCAGTGAGAACACTGAAGTTCTAAGGAGACTAGATTTTGAATAGTTTCTGAAAAATAACTGCAGTATATTCTGCATTGAAAGTACTAGATATAAATGCAAATATATACATTTGTGTGTTTGTATGTATGTGTGAGACAAAGAGAGAGAGAGAACATATAAATGTAAATACACACATAATATGTGAATATATGGGTAATATGTTTGATACACTTGAATTCTTTTCTTCTGGTTTGAGGAAAAAATCTGAAAGAAGCCATTTGAGATCCACCATTTTTTTACTGTGCCGTTTCAAAGTAGCATTTGAAACTGTGAATGTAAACTAATAACACTTAAGACTGAGAACGGAACTTCAAGAAGGACCAGCATTTTAAATCTCCGTGTTTATTTAGTACAGCTATCCTTGGCAAGCATTTTGTCCTTTTTAAAAAAATGTCTAGACTATGAATTATGATGAATTTTAGGAGATCAGGAGCAATGGTATAATCTTAACATAATCATGTCTTTTCTTTTCCACGAACTGTCACTGTCATCATACTATTCATTGATTAGCATTAATAGCAGAAGAATGGTGCAATATTTTCGAACTTTTAATAATAACTCCTTTTTTTTTACATTTTCAGGTAAAAACAAGTTGTGAATTGGAAACTACAAGTACTTTTAAAACAGTTTTTAAGGTAGAGAGTAAACAGCCATGGTTCCTTATTATCCAAAATATGGATCTTTATGAATTCAGTATGTCTCAGCTGAGCATATTCTTCAGAAACCTGATGAATCGCTATCACGCCCATGCTGACATTAGCATTTATCAGGGAGACATGCCTATATATCATGAGATATTTCAGCACTGAGGACAGAGCTTTTAGCAGCAGGCTATTTATCAAGCACACAGTAGATGTAATACACCCTGTTGTATTGCTGGTACTGTATAGGTCAGCAAGAACTTGTTCATGTACCTTGTACGTTTGTCTTTTTGAAGTGAAGTACATTTAAAACTTGCTCCTGATACAGCTCCAGGGTTACAATCAAGCAACAGTCAAAATCAGTGGCACAAAATAACCATATCTAGAGCATACTTAGCTATAAGAATTAGAAAAACAAATTGTTTCTGCATCAAATGGATGCAATCAGCTGTTCTTATCATTTGTTGTGCCATTTAGTATATTTCATAATACCACATCTGATAATAAGCAGTGAACATTTTGATATACTTTTTTCCTCTTTTTTTTGGCTACTAAATAAGCATCGGCCCAACATATTCAAACCATTATTGCATGTTAATAATGTTGTGCTGGTGCTATACACACATAATTATTCCAGTATCTTAGACAAAAAAATCACAGATCATGATCAAAAGCATCAGCATCCACAGCCTAGCATTAGCTACACAAATTGCTATTAAGGACAGAAAGTATTGACTCTTGCTGTTTGATCATATTCTCAATTAAATTTCGATGAATATTAATGAAAATCTAGTTTGACAGTGAGACACACACAAGCAAAATAATTGCTGTGATCATTTTCCTAGCATTATTTGATAGTTAACTAAAACAGAGCTAAAGTAATTAGGACTCATTACTCTCATTTAGACCATTAATCTGATGTGTATGGGGATGATTACGGTCACAGCCTCAGTCCCCACTGAACGCATTTGTTCAACTAGAAAAATGTATGTACCTCCTTTTGTAGAAATGCAGAGTCCTAGAGCAATGGCTACTCTCCATGCATATATAACTGACCCAGTCTAAATAGAGTTCTGTATTGGCAAACCTTTTGTATAGTTTCTTCAGGGGCATTATGACTTGAAAGGGGGCTATTCCACTACTGAATGAAGAATTAGGTAAAGGGCTATGTGGATACATCTCTATACTATGTCATATTCTTTCTGCCTGTAATAAATGTAATATTCATAGTCGTTCTCCTTGCTCCATGGTCTCTGATGCCATGTAATTACAGCATGCAAGAAAAGACAGGGATAGCCAAATCCACACTTGCAAGGTGACATGCAGTTTTTGACTTTCTAAACCTGCTTTCAGAGATACTTCAGTGCTTCCCTC